GTAAGACTACATAATTTATTTACTTTTCTTTCCCTACCCAACTAACTACACATAAGTATTTAGTTATTACTTACTACAGTAATAGTATAACTAAGTAATATATATATATATATATATATATATATATATATATATATTGCAGAATAACACTGGACTGAAATTAGTATGTGCCCCAAATACTCTGGCATGTATTCATAACTCACTACCAGGCAATGGATGGTATGATCTGTAACTAAATTTATCATCAGTTGTACTGGAAATGTCCTTATGGTCCAGAAGTGGTTAGTGTGGACTACAGTTATGAAAAATATTCATTGATTTTGTAAGTACAGACTGTTCCTTTAATAATGGAAAATAAATGGGCCTGAATCCATAATAATGTTGAAGTGTAATTTTAGACATTTTACATGCATAAGTAAGTATGAATACATTGCGTGATCAAATTTACATTTTAGATAAGAAACAACAACAACAAAAAAAAAACACTAACAAAACAACCTAATAATTACAGCATACAAGGATACAAAAAATAACAAAACTTGGTGATGTTTGATGGCACCAATGAGTCCAAGCAGGGAAAGCAGAAACAGGAATACACCACATGCAATTATTCCTCCAACGATGGCCAAATTGGAGACTATACTTGCAACTCTTCCATATGCAGCTACTCCAATTAGAACAAAGGAAACAAGCTGAAAAAATGAGACATACTTTATATGGAACATTGTCACTATACTTACCATTTTGAACAATGGTAGATTTACTGATAAATTGAAAACCATTAAATTCAATCATTGTACACCATAAAATGTATCACCGACCCACATTTTAAAATTAAATTATCTTTTTCATAAAATCTATCACAGTAAATAGAACACTGGTTAACCTCTTGAAAGTACAAACTTATTTATTAATTCTTATGAAATTTAAATACCTATAAAAATATTTTGCAGATAAGTTTATGGCTTCAGTTTAAACTTCATAATCTAACTTAGCCTTTACTGTTATTTTTGAAAAGCTCAGAGTGATGAATTTTAGAGCTAGGTGATTAATGATATTTGCCAATCGATGGATTTGTTAATCAGTACGTGGCACCACCCACACTCCACTACAAGGTATTTGCTAGCTTCATAATGTTTTCAACCACTGTATTATTCTATCATGATATTAATTGTCCTATTTTCATTCACACTGTTTTTATTTCTTGTAACTACTTCTGGAATTAACCATCAGTTTGTCTGATAGATACTTCAAACTAATCTGAATATTTTTCTACTTGGCCACCATTATATTTGTTTTTTTAACTATGCATTAATCCCATATAGATTTTATATATTGTTTCTAGGTAAACTACTTGTAATTGATGAAAACAAAACTTTTTCCAAACATTGTACACTTGTTACTGTGTTAAATTTTTAAGTTTTTTGTTACCCATTCAGTTTGTTTCTAAACTGTATAAGCTTACCCAATCTCAAGTTACCTGATACAATCTCACTGAAGAAAATTTCTGCTGCTTTCAAACATATATAAACATGTAGATACTTTCACAATTTGCAAATGAAAGGAGCATCTACAGATGCTATTAAGAAAAAAAACTCTTAAACCTGAATATATACTATTGTTATTCAATTATTGTTCTATCCAATCATATCTGAACTTTTCTCATAGCTATTTTCAATATTTAAAGTATAGACACATTGTTAGAATGTCTGAAAAAAAAAGCCACAGCAAAGTTTAATTGGTATTCATATTTAATATCTATGGTGTTTTGACTCCATTTTACTTCATCATATAGCAGCCTAAATTAATTTAGGTATGTGAATGATGTTATGAAATTTGTGGAATTCATTATTATAAAGCAGACCAACAGTCAAGAGCAAAAAGAAAAAAAAGACCCAGGTAAGTACTTTATTTCTTGTTTTTGATTTGTATTCTTTATTTATTATTATAAAAGTAACTAAAATGGAAAACAGTTTAGGTTACATTTAGTAAAATAAATAAAAATATATTGATAATGATACTTTTGTATGAGGTACACTGCTGAGTAGTTCTATGTTATGTAATTCAATACTGTAATGTGAAATGCAAGTTTGCCATGTGATTTGCAATTTATATGGCATGAATAGTATTAAGAAACACTTCTTAGGGCAATAATACAATAAAATTTAAGTATAAATACATATAGTATACTGTTACAAGCTGTAAGCTACTGAGGATAAAAAATTGTGGTTTTCTGTTCCAATTTACAGTCATTCCAGGAAGAAAATAAAGGAAATTTATAATTATTTCCTAATTTTTTTATGGTCGTTATAAAATCAGTCAAATAGTTAGGGTAAAAAAAATAACAGATAAAACATAGTATTTCTGAAAAAACAAAAACAATCGGTATTTATTTAGGAGGTTTTTTAGGGGTTATGCAAATACCATTTGAAAATTATAAGATGAAGTATTTTTAATCTTATCATAAAAATTACTTTTCACTCATAAAGGGAAAAAACATGCAGTGTAAATAAAGTTTTTCATTGAACATTAACATGCTCTTTTCCACTTGCAGAAGCTAAACATATAGTGTATATTGTAAATAGAAAGTTTTTCATTGACACTGAAGTGATTTTTGCCTTTTTTTTGTATTTATTAAATTCTACCTAGGGGACCCTTGAAAATTTCACTGGGACTCATGAAAAAAGTTGAGAGTCTGGGACCCTGGTGAGAACCCTGTACAAGTGGAGTCATTTTTTCTGAAAATTAACTTAAAATGCTTTAATTAAAATGGTGGATTTAGTGTTAAGACCCTGAATCAAATAAAATATTTATAAAAGCAGTCTGATTTCAGAATTTTAGGCTAAAGGCATTTTCAAACAGTTATTAAAACTGTGAAACATGTTAAACTATAGAGAAAAGGGAACATGTCCAAATGATGAAGCCTTGTATTCTAATTCAGGGACTTCCACCCTTTTTACGTAAATGGAATCCCAGAACAATACACATCCTGACTGAAGCCCCCACCCACAAAATGAATCTATAGACACTGAGTATCTTAACAACATCGTGTATTTGCTATTACCTCCCTGATACTTTCCTGTAGCCCTCAATTTTGGAACCTCCGGTCTAGTTAACTACATAAAATGTTCAGACAATTTCTTGGAATAATTAACAAAACAATTATAAAATAAATATCAAGCAATGTTATACTGCAAGGTATACAAGTAGGTGTACATTTAAATGAGAAAGATAAAAACTACACTGATTATTTATGTTGAACATGGACACGAGTTCCAAAGCATAAAAACAGTAAATATGTTTGATGTATTTTTCTGTTAAAATAATTTTGCCATTAGGTCAATGGTACTCAATGAAAAGAATGAGCTTAGTGTTCTAGATTATACTTCTAAAAGAAATCTTAATACAGTAATCCTAATAATTGGTTACACAAGTTGCATTGCGCAGGCTAAAGGTCACCCTATGTTCTCCTGAAGAAGAATAGTCAACTATTCGAAAGCACTCGAGTTTTGGGTCTTATTTTAAGTCTATTACACTTTATATGTGATCATTTGTGCAAACTCTTTCATCAAAATTGGTTACACAAGTTGATGTTCTTAGTAACAAAGATCTACAATAAGGTTTTTTTATTACAGTATACTGCACTGGGACAAAAGGGAAACAACTAATGACTTTTCACCATAATTAGAAGCATGGAATGTTTATCATTTAAACCTACTATTTTTCAAGTTTTGGTCTTCATTACATATGTAAACACAGCATAAAAATCATCCCAGTGTCTGTTGCATTTACACTGGCCTTCTAGTTCTACAACCACACTGGACATAAAATTACTAATGTTCCACATTTGCTTTTAAAGAGAAATAAAAGTCATAATCTCTTCCTTCTTTGCAATTTTATTAACATAAAATGTGATTTACTGCACTTGTAAGTCCTTTTAACAGAATAATTTATTTTATAAAACCAATTTTTATTTGTTTTTTGATTTTATAATAAATTTAATAGATAAAACATCAGGACCAGACAATGATATTCCCAGGGTTTTAAAGGAGGTCAAAAATTAGATATCTAAGCCTCCAGGTCCCTCTTAATTTTTGGTAGATCAATAGATAGTGTGTAGATACCTGAGGATGATTGTTTGTAATTAAGCACAAAGCTACACAATGGGCTATCTGTGCTCTGCCCACCACAGGTATCAAAACCCGGTTTCTAGCATTATAAGTCTGCAGACATACCGCTGTGCCATTAGGGGGCTCCTAAGGATGAAGAGTTACTGATGTTACTCCTGCTTTTAAAGGAGATTTAAAATTATTTGCTCTAGAAAATATAGATCAGTTAACTTTACTTGCATAGTTAGAAAAATTTTAAAGCCTGATCAAAGAAGCTTTGCAAAAAAACATTTAGTGAAATATACCATAAAAGGTAACCTACAAAAATTCACAAAATCAAAATATTCTTTTTAAACTCAACTTTTTTTGAAGATATTATTTGGATGATAGAAAGGGTGTGGATTTCATGTACTTAGATTTTCAGAAGGCTTTTGGTAAGGTGCACATATGATTTAGTTGGAATAACAGAAAATAGTAATAATCAGAAACACTAATTTTGATTAGTTGACTATTTTCCTGAGTCATGACACTAATTGATTAAGCAGAACAACCTTGAATTCATCAAGAATTATAATTATAAATTGTAATGGGAATATTTTGATTATTTAGATAATTTGAATAATTTACAACAGTAATAATATGAAATGCTCATTTTAATTAGTTGTTTATTTTTTTGACAATAGACTGAATCATAATTTTGACTAATTATTTTACATAACACTAATGGATGTAATCAATGCTCATAAGTGGTCAATTAAGTCAATCGCCTAGTTCTAATATGCCAATACTGTCTGCCGTTTGTTCAGTTTTTGCAAAATGCTGGTCAAAAGCTCCCTCATTTCACTTTTTTTTAAATTCTGTATCTAACTCTTGAACTTAAAGAGTTTATATGTTTGCCTTGAAGATATTTGAAAGCCACGTGGCAATCTAAAAAATTTATGCATAGCGTCCAGACACATAAAAATTCAAATTCTTAAGCTTTCAAGAGGAAAGCTACTTCAGCAGCTTTCACAGTCAAAATTACCATTGTGCACAACAGATTGTAATGTACACATCAGAAGAGTACTCAGTTTTACCAATGTATTGTGCTTAATAACTAATGCATGCTAGTTCATTTACATATCAATTGTTGTTGAATGTCTTCAAAGAGATCATATCACTTTGTGCTGCTTTCAATAAATGAAAGTTTCTAAACTACTCCAAAGAAATTTGTAATTTTGTTCTTAGTTAGTGTAATCTCAACCGCTAAGTTTAGGTATTGGGCTAAGCTGTGCACATAATATGCCTTTGTCTAATGAAAAATCATGCTTTTTAAAATGATTCTGCAGTGGACTTAACATCCTTGCTGCCTCTGTATCCAAAAACACTATCACACCTAATAAAGATTCAGTTACTTTATTTTAATTGATATACCTAACAACAAAAGAAAGCTGGCCTTCTTTGTTGCAGTTACGTTTTAAGCCTATAAAGATAGAATAGTACTTTTTCTTTTTAATGACTGATAAATTTAATAATTTTACTTAAAACAGCTCTGTGAACAATCTCACCACTCGATTAATCATTTAAAGATGTAGATGAGGCGTAACCAGGGTATCCATAATGACTATCTTTGGCTTTTTGAAATTGTTTTAAATTGGAACTGGTAATATCCAAATAAATAATTACAATTTTCAAACAGGGTCTAAAAAAAATGAGATGTTGAGGTTTACTTAATAACTTTCATTGATTGATAAGCTGAACAAATAGTTAGAAAATGGCCTTTAATCATAGTTATAGACAGTATGCACTTGGGTTATCATAATTTGGATCATACACTTAATATAGTTGAAAATCCAGTCAGTAACATGACTAAAGAAAATAATCTTGGCATGGTGGTATATAAGTCACATAAGCCATCAAAGTAATGCTTTTTGCTAATAGCAAAGCTAAAAGAATTTTAAAATGTATTTTTGGACTCAAATAGAGGTAGTTATTTCTTTATACAAATGACTGGTTAGGCCTCATTTTGTGTGCTGTTTGGTTTCCTTATCTAGGGATACAGAGGACAACTGCTAGGATTCCTGACAATGGATATAACATTTAAGGACAATAACAGGCTTGTTAGTCCATCAGAGCTATCCAATTCACTAAACTTTAAAAATATAATAATAATACCAATAAAAGTACCCTCAAAGCCAGGACTTACTATTCAAATATTTACCATACCTTCTGTTAAATAGTTAACACTTCAAATTGATTGCATCTACCACATCTGAAAACAATCTGACCCAAAGGCTAACCTGCTAAAAACTGATACTTATGTCCCATCCTACCATTAACTATGATGTATGAACACAATCAATCTCCTTAACAATCCTATACCCCTCAATCAGATATGATCTAACTTTTCTTTTTTCAACAGAAAATAATTTCAGGCATCTTAAACTTTCCATCCTAGGTATTATCCTAATAGTCCACGATTGAACATTTTCCAACAATTCAATGTCTATTTTAATGTAAGAAGCCCAAGATAAAACATATTTCAAATGAGGCTTAACCAGTGGACTATAAAATGAAACTTAAAACCTCTTTAAACTTATATTCTATATGTCTGTAAATACAACCTAAAATCTTACTTGCTCTAAAACTAGCAACAGCATACTGCTTGGTTGTTTTAAGACTGATCAACCAACACTAAGATCCTTTTCTTCTATAACACTCTTAAGATTATTCCCATCAAAATCATACTTTGATCTATATTATAACCCACATCCATTACCTTGTATTTATTACAATGAAAAGCCATATGCCATTTCTTTGCCCAACTCACCAAATAACCCAAGTCCTTTTATAAAGCAGCAGCACCTTAATCACAGCAAGCAATTTACACAGTTCATTTACCATTATTTCATCTTTGTCTCTGATGGTAATAGAAAATGTCCTAACAATGAGCCTTTAGGTACCCCACTTGACATTAATCCAATTTAACTGAACTCCATTAATACCCCCCCCCCCCATTTTCTTCTATCCAGCCACATTTGATCACACAAGCCAACTTATTCCCAAATCCTCAAGATTGTTTTTTAAGAATCTTTTCAAATGTGTTCTGAAAATCTAGGTATACCAAGTTCACACCATTACTCTCATCTACATAAGTAACCTCTTCCCAGAGCCTTATCATTCATAGGATGAGTTTAAAATTTATATATTTTGGTTTTCCTTAGGACTTGTGTGATACTGATAGGAGTCTCCAAGGGTCAAATTGTCTCTGGTTATGTTTGTGTTATTATCATTATTATTATGCAAGTAAGAAAGAAATGTATGTAGCTACAAGACGATAAACCTTAAAACAGAAAAACAGTTAAAATTATTTCACAATATTATTATAGAATATTACACTGTCACCACAAATGAGAAAATAGCTTTCTGATCAGGTTTTACAACAGTATTGCCCATTTATGAATTAGCTTTACATTTATAGTTTATGTGAATTAATAAACTCAGTCTAAACATCAACTTCATCAAGACAAAACTGTCAAAAGGTAAAACTTATGGGTATAAATAAATGCAAATGTAAAAGTAGAAATAGTTCCATGGCAAAGCAAGGTAACTTTTCAACTACCAGTAACAGTAATATTAGTACTAGCAATAATACTAACAGTAATAAATTAGTTTGCCAAAAATCTAATGTAGTACTAGTACTAACAAGTAACAGAACAGTTACAATGTAATGAAAAACGCATCTCATATTGGATTTGGAGCTATAATCACCAATTTGTTTTATGGCTATGCCAACATTTTTACCTTAGTTAGGCCTACTACTACTACTACTACTACTAGTAAAATATCAGTTTTGTTTTTTTCCAAGCTGAACGTTAGGCTAAAGGACAAAATCATTTAATTCTAACAACAACAAAAAAAGTAACAGTAACAACAGCACTAAGTCAAAAGTATTGAGTAACATTACTGTCATTAGTCATCAGTGACAAAATTAAAATTACAACAAAAATGGTTAAGCACAGAAACTTCCATTTTTCCAGATTAGACTCAAATTCTCAACTTACAATGTAGACAAGATTAAGAGCTGTAAGAGCATTTTTTGAGCAAGTGAATCCTCCACACATTTTAAATGTCGAAATTAAATCTTATTTCATACGAACTGAATAAAGTACACAACAAAGAAAGAACAGAACTATTACTAGCGTTAGTGATAGTAGAGAATAGTGAAACGGGATACAAACGTAACAGCTTTAGAAGATAGTGTATAATTCTCTAGAGGGCGCTCTTAATTATTAAATTAAAACTTATTATTTATCACTTGAAACAACACGAAATTTAATATATTTAGTCACACAATATATTGTTTACGTCTCATGGTGATAAGCATAAAGCTACACAATGGGCTATCTGTGTTCTGCCCATCGCGGGTATCGAAACCCGATTTTTAGCGTTATAAGGCATCAGACCTACAGCTTAGCCACCAGAGGGGCTATACAGTATGCCACACAGTAACTACGTAAAGGTCAAAAAACCAGGTAAATGTAAGAAAAATGGGGGAAGAAAATATAATATCAACATAAAGAAGTAAAATTGTAGGTGTACATTCTTTTATTAAAATCACAGAATGACGAAAGCGTGAATATATATATATATAAGTATAAATAATAAAATCATAAATAAATGAAGTATGGAAATATATACATATTATAAATTTTTAAATGAATGAAACAATTCATTTTAACAACAACAAAACATAAAAATATCAAACATTATGTTTGCTCGTTTTCTTTTTTGAATATTTGTACCGTATCCCTATGGGTATCTAAACCCGATTTCTAGCGTTGTAAGTCCAGAGACTTACCGCTGTGCCACTGAAGGAAATAGCGGATTTGTAATCTGACATTGTTTAAGAATATGTAATTTAACACGATCATTACAACTGTAATAGCAGTTACCATTAAGTATGGTAGTACTCAATAGTAGGGATCGTCATGAAACAAAATGGCGGCCATAAAAATCGCCCGTTAAAAACTACCTTTAAAATGTCTGAATATTTATAATGACTATTTCACTGTACTGGCTGAACAAAATTAAAGCTGATTGTACTTTATACTACGTATATAGAAAGTTTTAATGCTACAAAAAGTATCCAAACAAGAAAGTCAAAACTATAAAACTGACTTACTTAAAATTTAAATTTTTTTATTCTTACTTTGGCAAATCACTGTAATTGTGTTAGTCTGAGCCAAAGTAGGGATAAAATTTTTCATATTTTAAGTAACTCAATTTTTGTAGTTTTGAGTTTCCTGTTTCAATACTTTTTGTAGCATTAAATTTTCTATATCACTATAGTTATGTTTGTTATGTATATGTATATACATGAATACACAAGCTGAGTTACCCGGCATTGCGCGGTGAAAATTTATATTTGAAATGTATAGATCAGTATTTTTTTCAGCAAATTATTCAGTAAGTAGACAAACGCTGTGATGCGAGAAATAAAAAAGCATTTAATCAAACAAAGCTTTATTTGAAATTAGATCGTGTTTGAGCTTGTCTTGTTCTTTGAGCCTGAAGTCGTACATCATGTTGCTCCTCTGTTTCTTGCTCTCTGTAAGTTATTTGTTTTAATTTTTGTGCTTGAAGTCTGTTTTAAAGTTGTTCTGAAGTTTCTTGTTGTCTATATCCAGCTTGCCTTGATGATTCTGACTGAACTCTGGCTTTGTGCTGTTCCACAGTTTCTTGCTGTCTTTGAGTAGCCTGCCTTTCAGTTTGAGCTCGAAGTCTAGCTTACGTTGTTCCAAAGTCTCTTCCTGTATTTGGGCAGCCCGTACTTGAAGTCTTTGATTGCGTTCTTCTCCTGTTTCAGCTGCCCTTTGTACTTGCATTCTTTTAAGCGGCAGAAGACTTTCCATAGAAAGGGCGTTTCTTGGGTGGTATAATCACTTGTATCACTAAACAATAATTTGCAATTCACAAAGTTACTAAATCACTTATGAAACCACTTAGCACTATTTAAAGAAAACTGTTTTTGGAAATACTGAATTGACAGGAAGGTGAACTGAATGTCTCCTGCCATAACGCTTTCTATGTGCAAAACGTGCTAATGTTTGTATGCTTATTACAAAAAATGGCGCAATAATATTTAATTGTCAATTTCGTTATTAAATACTACACCAAATACAAAATAAATAGCACCATTAAATTTATTGTACAAAACTGGTTATTATGAAGTTATTTTAAAATTTGTAAGTTCAACCGTTTGGTTTCCTATAGCAAACAAAATAAATAAACAAACAAACTTCTTCTTTTATATATATCGATCCCTACTTATCTGTACAAAATTAATTTTTTTTAATTGTACTGGTACAGTATAGTAGTCAAGTATTTATTTTTCTTTAGAAAAATAATAATTAATTATTTACTAATAACAATCTTACGATTTTGAAACAACTTCCATGAAATTAGTATAAATACTGGGAATCAAATGGATGCTCCACAATGACTTAGCGGTAAGTCTAAAGGCTTATAACGCTAAATACCAGATTTCGATGCCCGTGGTGGACATAGCACAGATAGTCCACTGTACAGCTTTGCGCTTAACAAGAAGCAAACAGGT